GTTCACCTTGTAGCAGCTGGCAGCTCCGTAAATTGTCCCCTGCCCCACAGGGGCTGCTTTCTGGCCCAGATGTAGCTGGTGAGAGTGTATTGAAGGTCATTCACGTGGGGAGGAACCGCCGGCACCCATACACGCTGGGGGTACTGGTGGCGGGGTACAGGGCTGTGCTTGCCCTCTCACCGCCTCGAGATGCTCCTGCAGAGAGTGAGGAAGACTGAGGCCTGGGCTAGGAGACGGTGATCCCTTTCTTAAGCCATGGGAGAGGTCACACCTCTTTGAAAGGCTCAGGAGAGAGGAAAGCTGTTGCTGGCGGGGTACAGGGCTGTGCTTGCCCTCTCACCGCCTCGAGATGCTCCTGCAGAGAGTGAGGAAGACTGAGGCCTGGGCTAGGAGACGGTGATCCCTTTCTTAAGCCATGGGAGAGGTCACACCTCTTTGAAAGGCTCAGGAGAGAGGAAAGCTGTTGCTCCAGCCTCTGCTCCGGCCCACAGCGATGGCGGCTGGGGGGCTGGACCAGGCCAAGGGTCCATAACACAAGGCTGCTTCGGGAGGGAAAAGCTCCATCAGCGGGACAGGGATTGCCCTCAGACCCGCTGTGCTCAGGCAGAAAGACCGGACGGGGAAATGAGCCGAGCTGCGCAGGGTAGCTGCGTCCCACAGCTTGGAGACAAATGTTTAGCAGCCGTGTATCTGCTGGCGAAAGAGTAAATAGAGACACGGGTCTTGCACCTTTTAAACACTACATGTCTGCGGACTGCGGATGTGGGAATGGGATTTGCATGCTGCTTTATTTAGTATTATATAAGCTGTTCCGCATTTACAGGAACCACCCTGCAGACACCAAATGTGTGACCACAAAGAAAAAAAGTTGAAACAAAAAAGTAAAAAAAAAAAAAAAGAAAAAAAAAAAGTTTGGAAAAAAAGTTTTAAAAAAAAGTTAAAAAAAAAATTTGAAGAAAAAAGTGCAGAAGCAACCTCTTCCCGTCGGCGCCCCAGCTCTGCAGTGATGCTCAACGGGAAACGCTTGCTGGACCTCCCGCTTCCCCTCCTGCTCTGGCTGCGTCACGAGGCTGAAGGTTTTCACCACCAGTAATTGATGTCAGACACTGAAGCCAGGGATGAACTTGTCCCCTGGCGGGGCTGCCGCTCGGGGGGGGGCCGGTGCCCGCGGAGGGGACACGGCAGGTGGCACGAGCTGATGTCCCCAATGTTGGGGGGCCGAGCAGGGGGCCAGGGAGGAGCAGGAGCCCACTGGGAGGTCTCAGCACAGGGTGCAGGTAGGGTGCGAGTGCCTAGGGAAGGGGGGGACCCAGAGCTGCCCAGTGTGTGGCTGTTGGATGGCATCACTGTCACCTCCCTCTGCTGAGACTGCCACAATGGCCACTCACTCCTGGGGAGGAGGAGAGCACTTGCATGTGATGGCATGATAATAATAATAACGATAATAATAATAACAATAATAATAATAACAACAACAATAATAACAGCTGCTGCTTTGTAGCTCATCCTGCGTGACCCTCAAACCTCTGTGTGGTTCCTGTGCTTCTTGCCTGAAACTTTGTTTTACAGCGTTTAAAGAATGATCATTTTAGGCAAGATATACATCATTTAATTACTTTTAAGGAGGCTGATTGATCCCACTGCCTGATGGGCTGCCAGACTCCACCTCTGGCAAGTGTCTGGCAGGAGCCGCTGGGCATTGTGACCTTGACCTGCTAATGCAATCTCTAAAGGAGGAACTCAGGGTCCTCACAATCCTCTGTCTGCTGACTGCGGGATAAGTGGATTCCCCGACCGCTGCTAAGACAGCTTTTACCACCTCTTTTACACAGCCTCACATGGCATTTTGGTTAACGCTCCGCTGTTCGCTCTTGATCTTACCCCTGACAGCGTGGGATGGGCGTGCGGATGGTTTGCAGGGCTGCCGGGAGCGCCTGGCCGGCCGGCCCGGCGCCCGGCTCCCCGGGAGGGG